AGAAATTTGCACTCCACATTATTTGCTTTGGAACTGTCACTTGTGCACTGCACTGATAACCGCAGTAATGAAATGGAAGGGCTTCAATCACCCATCAGCAGCGCCTTGCCAATGAGCCTACAACAAAGGCTAACGTTTGCTAATCTTGAAAGCTGGCTCCCATCCCTGCATCATTAGATAAAACTGAAAAAGTGTTTTGTGGTTACCTCACAAATGCCATCTCCATATGATCATATTACGTCTTTAACCACAGGCATCAGAAAGCTCCTACCTCCTATATAAAAATTATAAATATGTATAGCCTCTTAAAACAGCTATTTGCCCAGACAGAATGATGCACCGCTTGCTGAAGGAGACGTTTATGGAATTGTTTCTTTTCTCTCATTAGATTTATTCCGAGCAACAGAATTGATGTTGCAGAGTTTACTACAGCTGCCACAGTGAATTACATCAATCACACATTTTTTATATGATGTAATTCTGCTTCCTATGCCGAATGCTTCGGTTTCTTTGTTGAAAATTGAAAATATAACAGTTTGAAACCGAATTACTCATTAACAGATCCGAAAAAAAACTGTGCTCTTGATTGAGGTCAGTGTATTATTAAAAAAAAATAAAGAAATGCAAGCAGGTTGCTGTTGTAGTGATGCTGCCTCGTTAAAAATGTGGCTGGAACAGGATGAAAGTTCATACAGAGCTGCTGATGTTGTTCGTCTGATTTACTAAAAACGCATTAAACATTTGCGCAGCTTATTGGTTCTTAACAATATTTTACTTTTTTTGTTGTTAAACAAAAACCCGATGTTCAACAAACAGAATGAATAGAAAGTAACCTTTGAAAGATGGTAATTAGCCCCCAGAAGAGAAACAGTGAAGCTATTAATCCCCCTTATCTTTTTCAACAACATGTGATCTGTGTCCCCTAAATGAAATATCCTCTTTTATCAGTTCTTTCTGCACTGGCATTAGAGCCACTGAAATCAGAGACAGGTACAAGAATCCTTGGCACAGCCTTCATTACTGTTGAGTGTTTGCACACTTTGGCTTTTGGCAGTGAACATTCAATCAAGGCTTATGATGAAAACAGACACATTATTAAGGTAAATTGCTAAAACAGTCTTCATTTCTAACTATAGCTCCATTTTTATAAGAAAGGAGGTATACATTCACACCACAGACTCAACTTTCTTAATACACCGGGAAACAGTCCAATTCTTTCTGTCATTATGCATTCTCCACTCCTTAACTGCATTTCATTGAGTAAAGATACAATGAGTAATGACACCTTATTAAACAGAAAAACAAATAATTATGTTAGGTCCCAAGAAGCTGAGAGACTAAAAAGTACTGTCCGAGACAAAGACGGCTCTGTAAGACTCAATGACTTATATGGTCCCACTACTGCTGTCCAAGTAGTTTCTTAATAGAGATGATAGTCCTGATCACAAAATGCTCATTCACATTTTTATCTGAGGAGTTGTGTGAGCCTTTGTTTGCCAAAACAACATAATTTTGTATCATCCAACTATTCCGCATGGGGGTTTCTTGCATTTCTTCCTCATGATTATTTGTAAAGTAAATCAGTAAAACAGTTTTAGGAACAGGACAATGTTACTTTTGCTCTTTTCAAAGCATATGAAAATATACAGACAGAACATCTTCCTGAGACCACAATTCCATATTACTTTTCACACCTTTAAGTACGATTATGTGTGCTGTGAGGCTAAATGTCACATTAAAGTTTGGGTAACGATGTGATTTGGTAGTTCTGATAGGTTGCAAAAACTCTGATGGATTGCAGTCCTGTTTTTACCATTAGCCTACAAAGTATATGTCTTTCCTTTAACAATAAAGAAAGCTTGGGGAAAGAAAATCTTGTAAACCGTATATAAAACGACAGTGCTATCCACGATGAAAATATCAAAGGTCAAAACAATCCAGAAATGTTCAATGGTTTATTACCTAGACTCGCTAATAAAGAAATGCAATCTGTTTCTGGACAGATTTAATTGTGGAAAGTACAATATAAGAAGTTATGGGGATTGTGAAAACCCTAGCAACTGAAAATGTATCTTCACTTTTGAACTAGTTGTATAACATAGTCGCTACATTTATTAGACTACTACCAAGATTAAATAAAATCATCAACCTTCCTGACAACTGCTAATGCAAACCCACTATTTTACAGTGGCTATCCATTGGATAAATACAAAAAAAAAAGATTCTGGCGATCACAAAGCTACCATTAAATGATATATGTGGTATATGTACTGAAAAGTGAAGTGAGCACAGATTGGGCTAAATTTATCCCCAAAGCAAAATGAGTAATATATTAAGGGTGAGCTTTCAGATGAATAAGGGTTTTGGACACCTGTTTCTAGTTGTACAACACAAGCTACAGCTCAGATAGAGATGCATGCCAGCCAGGGTTCCTCAGCTGGGAGTATCCATTTAATTCACGTTCAGATTTTTATTAAACACAAGGGAATTGTGTTTTTCTCTGTAACTGCATAATAATAATGAATGGGAAGGTTTGACTCTGATATCAGGTGGACGACTCACGTGGATGCTGCACATTGGTGGTGGTGGAGGGGAGTCCCTATTACCTGTAAAGCGCTTTGAGTGGAGTGTCCAGAAAAACACTATATAAGTGTAAGCAATTATTAATAATTATTATTATTATTATTATTATTATATGTCAGTAAGTTTATCTACTGGTCAGAATTAAGGAGGAGGGAATGGCTTGAATGGGATATTACTGAAGGAAAGGGAGAAAGGTGTTATCTACAGTATGAGAAAAAGCTTCCATGATTCAAAAACCCCTAGCCCAGACCACTAGGATATCAAAAAGTACATTAAATATGCTACAGAAAAAGGTTCATGAGGATTTGTGTGTTGCAACTGTCTGTCAAGATGACCTTTTCTGACTTATCCATCTATCCATTTGCTAACCACTTCTTCCAATTCAGGGTCCCGGGGGAGCTGGCACAAGGCAGGGTACCCCCTGGACAGGACACCAGGCCATCGCAGGGCATGCAGACATAAACGCAGACATGTACAAACTCACACCAGTGCCAAATTTCCCAGAAGCCAATTAACCCACCAGTATGTTTTTGGACTGTGGGAGGAAACCCACCCGAACACAGTGAGAAAAAAAAACTTCACCCAAACAGCACCCCAGGTCTGGAATTGAACCCAATGCACCAGTGCTATGAGGCACCAATGCTAACCACAGCAACACCATGCCACTTTTTCTGAGTAAATGACTCAGAGTAAATAACTAAAAAAAACTTCCATCTCCATCCTTGCCATGAAGATACTGTATACAGTAATTTCACTACCAAGCTCCTAAAATTGCTCATAGAGTTTTAGAATTTTGTATTTTCTAAAAGAGAACATGCATACTGTATAAACACCTTCTGCCACAAACATTACAGTATGAGATGTACTTTCGGTAGCAATTCAGTAGCTTCCTGCAAACTGAATTGCACTTTATGATGGTGTTTTTTTCTCTTGAGACACTCCTGAAATGACACATCAGACAGGTATGCTGTTGCTTTCTGAGAGCTCATTTGGAAATTACACTTATAATAGGGCAGTGTGTGTGTTGTAAATATATGTTTCCAATTTATTTATTAAATTAATAATTAATCACCTGAGGCGAAATACAAATTAACAGTTAACTTGATCACATTTAGTAATGACCAGCTGTTGCTTTTTTTACTCCTTTAAGAAAATTGAAACTTGGCATACACAACTGGCAAACCTTTAAGTGGAATTAAACCTGACCTAAGTGTCGGAGCATGTTGCTGATAAAACCACTTGACTTTTGAGTGAGATCCGGCTTATATTTAACTGTAGGGTTCATGCAAGGGTTATTATCCCTATTCTTGGCAAAATGTCAAAGAAGGAATAAGAGAATCCTAGATGCATTGTTATTTTGCATTCTTCAAGAATTTTTATAAAAGGTACTTATTAAATAGTTTATGTGTTTGATTCTGTGTGTATATATGGTTGATTATCAATAAATCAACAACCAATAATAACTGGCAGTTTGGTCATAAAATATCAAACAGTATTTACAAGCAAAATTTATTTCTCAGTAAACAGGTACCATACTAAATATATTGTCCTTTACTTCACACTAAACAAGCTGATGTAATGTGTGCTGTCTAGAACAGTGTTTCTTCAATAATGTAGTTTATATATATCAATATAGCGCCTTATATCCCATATAATAGCCATATGGTAATATAATGTAGGCAATAAGATTGTCACAGATGTCAGAAGGACGCACCGTGGAATGGCAGGAGAGCGTAAGAGACCCTATGCGTAGCGGCGAGACAGGGGTTAGCCCGGGCTCAGCTGTTCAGGAAATGCCGTATAGAAACCTATGCCCTCAGGTAGCAGACGTGGGGTGACCTGGTGCTAGGCGGGTCTCAGGACAGCCGAACGTCAATGCTGAGCCCGGGCTAACCCCCGTCTCGCCGCTACGCATAGGGTCTTTTCGCTCTCCTGCCATTCCGCGGTTTGTCCTTTTCCGACATCCGTGACAAAGATATTGCCTACATCAATTAGAAGGCAGGGTGCCTTGGCTAACTGTTGACATTTTTAACACAGAACTCCTAGTGATTCCTTCAAGACAGACCAACGACTTAAGGACTCGCAAGTCAATAAGTGCATAGACAACACAGAAGCATTATAATAAGGAGTGTGCTGAACCACACTGGAAGTGCACACTTCGGGTCAAAATCAATGCAGTTACTAGCAATTATTTTTGGCGAAACACTTGAATCAGAGTTTTCACCTTCTTTACTTATTAACTTGTCCCTCTAAACAGAACAAAAAGACTCAAGAGGAAATATTATCAAAGACAACTGCTGCTCAGAATGTTACCAGTCAAAAACACAGACCTCTCCTTTTACTAAATCCCTGTAACAATAATAAGTGGTGCAGAAAGCAAACTGACTTTATATTCACTGCCATACTGTGGTTTTTACCTGTTGGACATCCTGTTGGAAAACACAGAGCTGCAGTCGCTGATGCAGGCGAACCTTACGATGCTGCCAGATGCTCTCTAGCCTTCGCTGATGGTGCAGAACCTCGTGTACCACATCTAAGACACAATGTACAGCTTTGGAGTAATTGGCTGTTGCAGTGAGTGACTCTGAATTTCCAGGACTTAAAGGCCGCTGCAGAACATCCAACAGTGCTTTCCCATCCTGGCTCACCTACAGTCAGGTGCAGAAACACAACAGCATATTCAGTAGCCTGCACATTGTTTCATTTCATACTCAAACAGTAAGGTCTCAATTGACATTTTTAATATAAAAACTATCCTGCAGGTAGTGAGCTAATAATGTATGGATCCATAGTCTAATATCTTTGATTGATCCAAAATGAAACGTCTGCTTCACATTGATTATTCGAGTAAACTATACATTCTTATCCAGGTTTATGACGAATTCAGCCTACAAAGTCAATATTAATGTAGCAAATAGATACTTTGTTTTTTGCTTTTTTTATAAGTGACATAACTAACACAAACACTGCTGTCCATCTCATCTCTGTTTGCTTTATAAATGGCCTGGAGCAAAGATTGTATTTACTGAAAAACGAAATGGAAAAAACAGCACTTAGTAATTCAGAAATTAGAAAAAGTTACTTACGCAAAATAAAACAAAATAGAAACAATAACTGTAATAAAACAGTCATTACTTAAATACCACACAGGATATTAAAGATCAAAATTTAAATCTGCACAACATACAGTAGGTTATACAGTATATTAGAATGCACATCCTTACAGTTTACTGTGGGAATCTGAGAATGTATAGTGGGCATGCATATTAATAAGGTCTTTGTCCAATCAGAATGCTACAGAAAACAGAACTCCTACGATTTTGATTATGTATTATGTTTATTATTTTTAGCTTATACAGTACATGTGTAGAGTATAAAACAGCCACTGTACTGCCTCAGATGTTTTGCATCTTAAGATCACTGCTGCCGTCAAAATGCAGAGACGTGAAATTAAGTGGGATTTTAGTTTAGTTTTAGTGGGATTTAGATTTTTTTATTTTTCAAGGATTCATTTAGAAAAGCAAAGATGGCAAATGCAAAGCCAAGGCTGTCATAGAAGAGGACAGCAATGGGACAGTGGATTTTTTTTCACCAATTTTAAAGACCCGAGCATTTGCCTAGTTTTCCACCACAGCGAAGCCTTCACAATTTTACATGTGAGAACTTTAAGGAATTAAAGGGCATTTTGAAAGCTCAAAACCTGCCTAACCTTTGGCTAAAGACAAGCCTGACACAGAGGTGTCTTTTCATATTAACCATCTGGTGGTGAAAAAAAGAAATCATTCATCCATGGCAAAGTTATTAAGGAGACAATGACAGTTGCTGTCAACACATTAAAAGTTTAAGTTTAAAACTTCAAACACTTCAAAAACAAAGATGACAACTATCAAGAACATGCCATTTGGAGCTTGAACAGCAGGCAGAAGGGAAAAGGATGTCTTAGTAAATACACCACGACTTATTATATTGTGAATGTTTTCCACTGCAGTTCAGTGAATCAGTGAGCATGACCGATATGGCCTTATATATTAGCAGATATTACTATTTTTGTCTAAACAGACTTCAAGGATTCAACAGCAAAGGATGTTTTTTCACTATTTTGGCTCTTTAAAAGCAAACAAGAGGTGAAGTGATTTCTACAAGAAATTTAAAAAGTATGTGACATTTCGTTAAAGAAACACTTCAATCACTACCAATGGTAAAATGCTAGATGTCTATGCAGGCTTCATTGCAATTTGCAGAAATGATCCTGAATTGCTCCCCACTCTCTGTTTTCCACCAACAGGCACTTGTAAGTAAGGTTACTGACTTTTCTCAGTAAAAAAAGCCGTTCCCAAGGTCATCAACTCAATTGATGCAAGAGCTCTACAACACTCAATGCAAGTTCACTCAGTTCTTCCCTTCATGAGCTTGATGCTACCTACTGTATGGTTAGCTAATCCTTCATCCAGACGTGAGGTGGTAAAAGTGCTCCAGAGATTTAGATCTGATGCTGAAAAATATGCTTTTCTTTTAAATCCAATTAAATGATCAAGCAAGACTCTTCATTTCATAAGAAACAGAATCCTTTACCTCCGCATAGGCCTGGGTAACTTGCTCGTACAGTGACTGGTGATGGTGGATGGCAAGCTCCAGGTCTTGCATTTCCGATGGCAGGCCTCCCTCACTGCACATTTTACACCAAGCATCAACGCCCGACAGAAACTGGAATCAGTCCAGAAACACATTTCGACAAAGACATATCACAAAGGAGAATGGGGTACAATGGCAAGGTCAGATGTACATTCGTTGCACAGTGCTGTTCTACTTAATGACTGGTGAGGTAAACAGGAATCAGCAGCTAAGTGCCTGCTGACAGTGAGCAGTATTTTTTGTTTAAAACCTACAAGATTCACCATATTTATGCTTTGCTTTAAGAACTTCAGACATCAAATACCAGTTTAAAAAGGTTTTTCTCTACGAACACTTTAGTGCAATACAGGTATATACTGTACATAACATTAAGTATAACTCAAAATGGTAATTTTGGACTGTAATACACATCTTAAAACATTTAAGTACACTGTACACAGGGACTATGGAGAAATTGATTCAGGATGCTTGAAGTTTTTCTTTGGCCTATCCTGCTTGGCTAGAAGGGTGAGGATGGTCAGATGGACAAAGTGGTCTAGCACACCTATGTGGGATGAGAAAAGGGGTAAAGGAAAGTCAGATGTCTCTATATTAAATAAAGAAAGGAGCCGGCCATGGGTACAATCAGGAGCTTGTCCCTCTCTCAAACATTCATAGTGGACTCAAATTTGTGAATATTCATCAACTCAAAACATGCAGGGGTAATCAAGTCTTTTGGTTTGTATGTTACCTGAAGGCCAAACCTCATAAAAGGTGCAGGATTCTCATTAAAATGAAAAACATTATGATAAAAATCCTAAAACTCCAAAGAACAACACTAACATAGAAAATATTTTTGCCAGCATTTACCTCCAACTGATGTTCAGAAAACTGTGAACAGCACAGTGCTCAGCTGAAAATCTTGGCAAAAGCTGTCAGCAGACACTGATACCGTTCCCTTTTTTGTGCACTTGAACTATTTTCTACAGAATCAATTCAAATTAAACATCATGATAAATATAGCGCACTTATTCTACAGTCATAGACATATTCGTACAGTTCTTACTGATGATACCAGCTCTGACCTGTTCAGACTTCTGATGAAACACTGCAGACATTGCCAGGATGGTGCTACGCTCATCAAGGGCAGCAGCGAAGCTTTTCCACTCTTGATCTAGCTGGGCCGAGATCTGTTTGATTTGCTGGGAGGCGTAGTGGCCAGCTTCTGACAGTCTGGATGCCACAGACATTATCCGATTGATGTTGACGTATGCATTCTGATGAGGGAGGACAGGGAACATATCTGTGATAAAACATCTACTTGCAAGCTGACAAGAGGAATAGGAATGAAGCACGGGGAAATAAGTCTGCTCAACATATTAAAAACCGAACATTGTTTTAGCTGACTTTGGGTAGAAATAATCAAACATACAGTATGTGCATCTTTGTTGATACCCTCACTAAAAACATTATCATGTGCTGTACTGCCATCTGGCTTTTATCTGTATATTTCTATCTGTTCAGTTTATGAAACTCTTTAAAATAATACCTCTCTTAAAAGGTTATGAGTGTATGTCTGGTACAGTATACTGTATGTGTCACAATGATTATATTATTTACATCAGATAGTTTAGTTTATCCATACAGATTGTGTAAATTGAACATTATATATTTGTATTGTAGGAACAAGAATGCACCAATCTGTTCTTGTTAACAAACACATTAAAAATAATAAAGGACACTATACTGTACTGTTTTTTTTTTAACTGGGTTATTTTAAAACACTGACTTTCAAGTCTAAGACTTGTTAACTTTAGGGACAGTGATGTGTTGTTGAAAAAGAACATTTAAAAAAAGTTTGAAAAAATATTTTAAACATGAAAGAATTTTACTTGAAAAGAACCAATGAATGAAGAATCAATACATATAATAATACTTCAAAAATAATCTAACAGATCTTTGTCATTGATGTAATAAGAGGTTTGACAAGGAATGAACAACATCAGTCTTTATCAATAACCTTGTTGTTTTCATAGTTTCCAAAGTATTCATGTCTATATGGGATTTTTTGAGTAACACTGAATTATTCACACAATCAATAATTCACCAGCAGATGAAGAGACAATGCCTTTAAAACACCAAATTTGTTTCCAGCAAAATATTTTCTAAGGGAAAAAAAACTTCTTACCATTGAGTTCATAGCAAAGTGATTGTGCTGTGTCTGTAAATCCACTGCATGTTGATAACTGACCCCAATCTCTGTGTGGCTCTGTAGAAACAGCTCCTTGTTGTGACTGATCCAGTCAAACATCTAAATTAAGAAATTCATAAGTACAAAAGAAATCTTAATTTCACAGTGCCTGAAAACCGTCAAATGACTCAAGTCACTGTGCCATTTCACTGGCTTTCAAGTTACAAATATTTATACCAGAAATGGTTTGTCATGAGTTTTTCAACTTGATTTTAATTGTATTTACCAAAATGTAAGCACATTCATAAGGAAAAAATGTGGTGAACCCTAGCAAATTCAAACTCAACATGACAAAACATGTAGTCATCCATCTACCCAGTTGCAACAAGAAAAAACTACACTTTAAAAAGTGGGAAAATAAACCATTAATGGTTTAAAGAAAAAAAATATTAGTCAGTACAAGACAGAACTTCAACATTTCACATAAAACAAAGTGATCAGTGACTTTCAAATTAAAGTACATATAGAAGTGGAGAGTCAATAATGTTTAATTGTAAATTCCAATTACATTTTTCACAAACATTACAAACTGTAATATATACCAATGAAATTGCCTAAAATTGGCTTTCATTTAAAGTGATTTAATTCATTTCATTAAGTTCATTCCATTAAGAAGTAATAAGAAGCATGCTTCTATCAATGTCAGTTCCTTAAAAAAAATGGGAAAAAAACACAAAAATCAATCTTTCTGCTACTGTATTTATCTCTGGTATGCCTCCTTTTTCCAATTTCTATTATTTTTTAAAAATCATGCGTTTTTGGTGCTTCTGACTGCTTAATGGGTTTGTGTGTGTCTTTGCAGAAAAGTACTGTAAACTGTAAAATGCATGTCTTATGATTTCCTGATATGCGTAACAAGCTTTGCTGTTCTTAAATTACTGCTTCTACTTCAGAACGAGTTAGTAAAAATCAGGAGTAAGCAGAACATAACGTCCAAGTTATGCCCTTAAAGAAATTAATCAGTGTACCCACTATTTCCCAGATCTATCACAGGGCAGTATCACAGGGCTTTAAAAAATAACTTTTTTCACAAAATTTGAGAAGTATGCTATAAAAATATTAATTGTAAAGGAGCAGTAAAGGAAAAGCTGAAAATCAATCATGCACTTTGATAGCAAAAACAATGGCCTTCCATTGAAAGGATGTTTAAAAACATAAAGACGGCATATGGCACCATAAGAATTAAAAACTTGTAAGATCAGAAACAAACATGGCTCTGTCCTAAATCAGCACTGCCTCACCAGGGAAATTAAAAGCTAACTTTGCCCATTCTAAGAACAGGCACCATGGGGGCAGACACTAATTAGGGAAGTATCTGCACTTATCCTAATTAGGTCTTGAACATATAATTTGGGAGCTATTGTCCTACTAGGCTGTCATTCTGGGACATACACTATAAAGGCAAAAAAGAACAGGCTCATGGTGAGTTATATAATGGTAGTTCTATTATTCTATAATAGAAGCACAGGTACAGTATGCATTGTAACTCATTAATTTCACATGTAACCTATTTTATTTCTGTTGCTATTTTATTTCATGCTGCGGCCAATGTTTTTTTTTTAACTTGAATTTAAATGGAGTTCCTAACAGAAAGAGGAGAAGGGGTTCAGGAGGAGGACAAGTTTCTATTGATCACTGGCCCCAGGGTATAAATATGGGACTCTAAACTAGCATATGTTGCACTAACACCCCACTGCCATCCCCAGCTCCACCCCCAGAGTAATAACCTCCTGCATGATCAGGGGGGTTCCGCCTTCCTCACACATATGGCCAAGCAGTACAGAGGTCTCTCAAACCCAGGAGACTGAAGGAAAAATATCAATATTCAGCGCAGTCACATTGTTTCTGAACCGACTTTTGATCAAAATAATTTTGCTAGTCTGAGGGATTATAAGTGCTAGATAAATATTTGGATTCACTAGGTCAATTAAGTAGCTGCACTTCATTTGTGATGAATTGCATCCTCTTTTATACGTATAGCACATGAAATGTGGGAGTAATGATTATGGGATACAATTATCACTACACTATCTTGATAAAAATTGATGTCACTTGCAAAATTAATTTATCCAGAGTAACTTAAGAAAGACAAAAGGATGGAGTACTGTTACATACAGAGTAACCTACGGTAATTGAAAACGGGACCCTTTCCTGTGTTTTTTTATACTATATGACAGTATAGTATAAATATAGAAAGAACAGAGCAGACTAAGGTTAAGTAAATTGCACAGGGTAAGAAAAAGAAGTGATTTACTTAGAAGCTGGAAAATAGATTTGAACGTTCTTTTGTCCAGGCAGCAGCCTTTTCTTTAAGTGCTAACCTTTGCTTTGAAACTTCCAAAGACCAACATATCCTCAACTTTCAAAACAGCTTTCACCCTACAACTTGCAGCCCTGAACTGCTAAAATAAATCATCTGATATTTCAAACTTCTGTGGGTTGACATATGTACAATATCCTACTGTAGCTTGGGCTTTCCCATTACATCTGAAGGTATGTGGTTTTATTTTTCCTACACTACTTTCAAATTGCTTGGAAAGTGTTTGCAGACAGAGAAGGCTTAAATTGCCTGTATACCATATGAACACTTTTACATCTGGAAAGCACACGAAGTGCTTTAAAAATATTTATGAAGATGAAAGACTGTACTATACATTGCTTGCAACTACTTAAATTTACAAATGCTTGTTGCTTTATGGAAAGTTACATATCATAAGTTGCTGTGTTTTGCTTTTATCCTCCATATCCAGTTTTTAAACTGGTTCCAGATGAAGAATTGTTTAGGTTTCTTGATGTCATGTTTCTGAGTCACAAATGTATAAAACCTTTACAGAATTCTTATTCTCGAGCACAATATTAATACAGTATATTACATTTGTAACATGTACTGTATATGAAGATATCCGTGCGATACAAAGCCTCTAAAAGACAATAATAATCTTTTAAAATATGAAACATTATAACACCTCCCAGTATACATAGACCAGGAATGCAAACAATTCTGATTGGTGCTATTGTACTGCATGTAACCTGCAAATACCCTGTTAACATCTCACAAACATTGAATTTGGTCATTTCTAATTGCTATTTGAATTCCCCTGCACAGATAGACACATGCCACATAAGTGACAATCAGTGATGTAGATACTAGCAGGTCAAACTCCTGTTTTTCCAAAAGACTTGGTACTAAATACAATGTATCTTGTAGGGAAATACAGTGTTCACATTTATAGTAACTCTACGTAAAACTAAGCAATAAGACAAAGCAATTTCAAACTAGAAACAGACCCTGAACTTTACAAATCAAATGTCTTAGTCACTGGGAATTTGTGACTCAAAGAGTCAGGCTAAGTCCTATTGGGAATCAACTTTACCTTCTCTGCATCCTGCTCAAAGAGTCGAAGCTGAAAACACTGATCTAACTTCAGTTTTCTCATGTGCCACATCTGGTGCAAGTGCTGTCTGGTGGAATGCAGTTTGTCAAGAAGACTGGCGATCTTTGGCACAACACTCTGGAAGTCTGCACTGCCAGGGATGCAGTTTCTCCCTGAAAAGCCATCACTACAGCGAATACACTGCAGCAATCTCTGGCCTTCACGGTCTAGCTCCTCCACTGGAGCCTTAAGCACCTTCTTCTTCAGCTGAGTATGCTCATCTATCAATCTCCTGGACCCCTCCACATCCACAGGAAATTCCTTTTTGGCCAGTATCTCTTGTAGTTCTTCTAGACGGGATAACAAGTGCACAGCACTGCCAATGAACTCTTCCAAAGACACACGGAGTTCAATCCACTCATCATGGTTGTACTCCAAAGAGCCTTCAAAGTCATCAGTCAGCTGGGATGGGTCAACTAGCTTTGAAAGGCCTTCCACTGACACCATACTGGTCTGGAAAAAAATAGAGGAATCATTATATCATTTATGCATTTATTTGTACAAAAGTTAATTTATCAGTGAATATTATTAAACCACAGAGAATAAGCAGATTATTTTTGATTTAAGAGCACTGTGCCATAATCCCAAAAAGGTATTTAAATGCTTGTTTTGTGAAGTCAGGGCCAAGAACTTTTTCTTTTAAACCCGTTAATAAAGAGCTAATGAGCCAAAAGGTCAAATAAAGTCAAAATAAATTCAGTAACATGTCTGGGAGAGATGGACGTGCACTGTTGATATTACTTAAGTCTTAAACATGGTTTTACAGGCAGCAAACATTAAATCCTTAACACTGCATCCCAACTTTGAAAAAACACCAAACGTACAATATGATTTTTATGATTTATATCATTTACATGTACTTCCAACAAAATTAAGCTGTGGAAAAAAAAGTATTCCAAAGAATAATTCCCATGGACTAAATATTTTGATTTTGACATTCAGATATGATTTATTCAAATGGTCATACTGTTTATTATCTTTTAAATACCATTATAAATCTCTTTACACCATGAAATGCCCCATGCATTGTCTCTGAAGCGATTATTATCTCATAACTAACTTTATAATACCTGTTCATGTAGCACAGGCACACAAACCACTGTTAATTATTTTTGAAGATAAAATGCACACGCATGGGATTCAAAAATAAAAAGTTCTTTGTTCATATGTATACCAAATCCTCACCTCGAATGTAAACTTTGAGCTGCCAAAATTAGTTTTCTGCTTCTGCCAAAAATTGTCCGGTTTGATAATAAGTGCAACACAGATCTCAGCAGGAAAAGCTTCTTGCAGGGTTTTCAGAAGAGGTTTGATCAAGTCCCACTTAGAGCCTCGCATGTCAATAATTACAGTGAAACCCCGCTTACAGACATCATCGCTGTGAAGTGGAAAAACATTGCTATTAGAGCACAGCCAACATGGCATTCTACAACATCAGTCACACACTTTAAACATGCAATTGGGTCAAAAGAGACTCTGCAGATGATCTGAAAGTGAACATCTTTCAAGTCCATTTATACTGAGTCAGGCTTTGCTTCCCAAAAGGAACCTTAAAAATATCACAAACTGTTCACTGCTCTGATTAAGTGAAATTAAGTGGATTACAATCATATACCAGTTGCATTTCTGAATGGCAAATCCAGCAAAGCTTTAATATTATGGGTCTGAAAGTCTTTTTTACCCATGCAGCAATTCTTTTCTCTACAAATGGGTAAATAAACCATATCCTGACTGATATCCAATATCCAATTGTTTAGCAATGTCCTCTGAAACATTTTACAGTTTTAGTTAGGAGATTAGGTCATTTTAATTAAAACCTTTAATGAAAATGAAAATATATATTATTTTCTCATGGCTTACACTGCTATTAAAATCCTGTGCACCTTTATTTTGAAAACACATATTAATGATGATGCTTAGATAAAACAAGTAATAATTGCTCTACTCCTTTTCCTGCCCTTCTGAACCTTTTAAAACGGCTGGAATTAATGTGATACTAATCTCTTTTTTGCTTTAAGGCTACAAATCCACTGAACGCAATGTTTGTTATTTCCACACAAGCGTGTAGTTATTCTAACAATAAAAGCAGCGTTATTATCCATTTAATTTCCTCTATATTCAATTATAAATGGGTCACTTGACAGCAGTAGCAAAAAGGATGCGTTTGAGCACAAAACAAATCACAGCAGTGAAAAGACAAGAAAATAATATCTTAGATGCTCCAGGACAGAAGCTGTTTTTAAGTAATACTGGATCCACAGGGAAAATTACTCTCGCCAAGAATCAAGCCACAGTAACTATGAAACCATACCACTTACTACAATTGGCTTATTAAATGCAACAATATATTTACTCATGCATTAAATATAAAAATAGAGTACCTTTAAGTTAGGAAACACATGTTAAAAGGACAAACCTAAAAATGACTTTATGAAAGGTGAAAGTTTTAAAAACTAAGTATCCACAATTTTTACCTCTTATCTTTTGAAAATAATAAGTACAAGCAAAAATAGTGAGCAGGGTAACACTAAAAACACTGAAAGAAACTGAAACTGGAAACATTCCAGACAGACATTATGTTGCAATATTTACTGTTCTAATGGCAGTCTTCTTTAAAAAAAAAATATAGAAAATATTACAGGAGCTGGAAATTAAAAATGCCTTGTAGCTGTTGTACTATCTTAGTTAAAAACAAACTCATGGAAAACAGTACAATATTACAGTGCATTTTATTCCCTCTTGTTAGATTAAGAAAAGAAAACTACTGATGATTGCTAAGTAAAACTGTTACCTCTATTTTCATATATTTCAATGTCTGTATACACCTTTAAAATGTGCAGCCCGAATGTATACATTATCTTTAAAACAAGTAGTAATTCAATAATTCTATTTCCCTGTTTCCCTCTTCTTTACTTCCATCAACCATTTGATATACAGTAATAGAGCAGAGATGTGTCCTAAAACAAAAAAAGCTTTTATTTTAATGTTTATGTTAAAACACTACATTTTGGCAATTACATAATATTGTATATTTACAATATAAAAGATATTCTGACTAATTTAGAACAAATGTTAGAGATAGGAAAAACTGTCTCTTACAGTATAACCTTATTGTACAAAATTTGGATAGTAACATGCAATACTCAGTTCTAAACCTACAGTACTTAAAGTTCAGCAACTGCTCCTCGTTACATGTTGCTAAATAATTTAAATGTTTTCTTATGTTTTAAAAACAGGAGAGGAAGCCTTAAATTTAAAAATGATGCAAACACTATGGTTTAGTAAAATATAGATAAGAACAGTCAAATAACAGTTTTAATGAATACACAAGCTTTCAGTTTAAGAAGGTTACTAGAATGAAAGAGGCAAATCATCACGACATGGAAGGAGGTTTCTTATTTTCAGTGCTCTGAGTGTATTAATAAAGTAAGGTTAGGTGGAAAAAGTATCTTCTATTTATACTACTTTCCCCTAAGGTATCAGGCTGTTTAAAGTCTAATTAACAAGCCTTTGTCCTATATTACAGAGAGCTTTGAAGTTTACTTCATAGGCACTGTGCCAAGACTGATCAATGCGTGACAGAGCAGTACTGTCCTGACATTGTTCCTGAACGGATTAAGCACCAGCGTGCAGAGATTTCCTACATTTTTAAAATGCACCAGCGCTACACTGCATATCTACTGTATATCAGTATTTCACCAAGGATTCAAAAATACCTTAGAAGGTAAAACAGTTCATTCATTTTCTGAATTCAAAATACACATGACTGTCAATTGGATTCAACATCAATCACAACAGGTAAAACACATGATGAATAATCAATTAGCGGAAAGCAAAAGGTTAGGATACAGATTGCATGGGCAGGAAAATAATATATTGCTTCCACAAATTAAACATTAAACATAAACTCATATTTCTTCTAAGTGAAGCAACTTGAATCATCTCCTTAACAGGCAGAATTTAATTTGGTGCCCTTCTGGAAAGATAAAGTTGTCATTAAAGCTACCTACAGTTCTGTATCTATAACAGACCAGAACTCCCTCTGTAGTTCTAATATAAAAATAAAACAGGCAAAGAAAACAGCTGTGGGAAGTTTCACACAATTATTAAGGAATAAAAAATATATTTAACTAGTATAAGCTCTTATTTAAGAATAATATTAAGTCTTTCTAGGAGGTTGACTTAGAAACAGACAGGATGCTGTGCCTAGATTTACACCATACATCAAGAAGGTGTGAAGTACATTTTAAAAAATAATTAAATTTGTTTTGTTTTAGTAAGCCAAAGGGTCTTAATTTAAAAAGTTGAAATAATAAAAGCATACATTTAATTTAAAGCATTGTAACAAACATCTGTTTGAATAATAGGTTAAATACTGAATTACAGTATGTAGTAAATGTACTGTAACTATTAAACTATTACTACTGTCATGTTACCTGATATTTATCACAGTCTGACAGGGACTGATATCTTAAAAACCAATTTATGCGTTCTTTGTTCACATAAATAAATACTGTATGTTTATACAATATTTATCTATTTAATTTAAAATAGTCAAGCTGTTGTGCTTCTTGAAAATAAGCAGCTACAGTACATATTATACAATATTGTAAATATTACATAATTCGCAAATAAATTATAATTTCTGATTATGAATGTGACGCCTCCAAAAATGATGTTGGAAAAAGACAGCACCTGTAAAGTAACTCCAAAAAACATGACACCAGTGCTTTCACCATATTGTATATAAATATAACTACACAACCTAAGTCATTCGTCTATTACTCAACACATCTCTTTATTCCTACCTGTATGTTTTATGAGCTTCTCCTTCATGAATCACCCTGCCATTTTCTCTGCACAACTTTCTAAACTCAGAAGTACTTATTTGACAGTAATGCACCAGTGCTAAACCTATATATCACATTTAATAGATCCTGCTAGGAAGAATAGTCCCAATTACTTCACTTCTGACAGAATGATGAAGCACTTTCTAACAATGAAGAGTGAATGGACTTTGTTGTATGGACAATACATAACAATCAGGTCCCTCATGGGTTATTTATTTAACTGATACTATACATGGTGTATTATCAAAACTGAAATTATTTATAGACAAATTCCATTTAATTTCATGTTATTACATTTTTACTTTTGTCTAAGCCAAGTTAGAGGCACGCACAGTGTGTATTACTGTATGTGCACCCAGTGTAATGTTTAAGATACAAATTACGGAGTGCCCTACAATAAAAGCCTCACATGTACATTATATGAATAATCAGATACATAAAAGGTTAGGTGAACGTTTTTAGCTTGAGAAACTGTTTTGGGTTCTATAATGAGGTAAGATCGGTGGCATGTAGTTGACTGGTGTATTAGATTCTTCATTAGTGGAATTTTGACTTATAGAATTTAAGCCGTGACAGGAACCTTGCAAACAACTCAATACCAACACCAGAAAAAAGTGTGCTAGAAGCAGAGTAATCAAGCCACAGCAACTGCTGCCAGCAGTTACTATAGTATATGACAGAACCACGCCTTCTGGTATTCCAACAAAAATAAAAATACACTCCGGAAAAAAAGAATCCTTTCCAAAGCTGATATTTGAGAAAAAAATCCTCGCCAATTTTTTTTTTTGTCAGCAGAAATCAATGTAATACAAATAATCTAATCTCAATCTGAAGAAGGATTTTTTCATTTATTATATTTCTCTCCATCTCATCTGTACATTATATAGAATATCTCAAGAAAAAACAAGAATAAATACTGCATGGATTTATATATATATCCACATATATAAATAAATTAATAAGACCAATTTAGTAGAACCAATCAGCAATCAACAGAAGGTTGAAAGCTACCTTATTCACTGCATGGTCTAGCGTGTTTGCGTTTACCTTGGTACAGTAGCCAAATATTGTACCAGTCTTCGGAGGTCTTCCTGCTTTATTCTGTCATGGTTACTTCTTGCTGGGAAGGTCAAGATTGGGCCACCTCTTTTGTCACGGCCTCCTGTAGACGATACACTGCACTGTGAAAGTCTGTGGTGGCCAACATTCAATTATACCATACCTGCCAGGTGTTCTAGCAAAATCTCAAAATCACTCAAGGAATTGCCCTCATTAGTGTAAACCTTATAAGCATTATAAAACAATAAGACATCAGCACATTAAAATGATACAATGAGACATATTAGGCCACTGTTCACTCCAGAGAATATGGCCTTAGGATGGTAATATAAAATAGGAAAAGCTGATCTGATGGAGATAAAAATGGTGAATAGGCTGTTTTTTGTATTCAAGAAACAATAGAAATGTTACCACTTTTTGACCTACGGTATTTGACCGGGAGAAGCACGAGAGTTATGCAGCTCTCAAAGTTCATTTAAAACAGAGGCTTTTCACCATTATTCACATGTGAAGAGGGAAAGCTCATCTGATTGTGGAGGAAGTGCAGTACATATTTGTCCGTTCTGATACTTAGAAGTCCCTCAGCGCACACACCAGAAGTCATGAGACAAGGAAGGAAAGAATTAAAATAATCTCTGTATGATCACAGTGACAGATTCATGCTGACACTTTTTGGGAACACTTTATCTTTAGAATACGTCCATATTCTACTTAAATGAACTCGGCAGCTCTTTTCTGCTATCCAACATCAATCAACATCTACAGGTTGTGTTTTTTTCTTTATACAATTGCCAAACCAGTGCTGCACATTGCCCAGTATCAAAAGATAAAGAAAAAATGGATGAAAAAGCATGAGATTCTATTTGGGCTAACTCTTCATTAAATCCAAGCCAATTCTGTTCCTTCACTAAGGGGTATAGTTTGTCATTGATGACACACAGTAAAAGTCTTAATATACTGAGAGGCATTAAAATGCAACAAATGAGCATTAGAACCACTTGTGGCTTTTTAAAATTTATCTCAGTATATTTTTATATAAAGAAAAAAAATGCAATTCTTTTTTTTTTTCTAGTTTATCTGCCTTCCATTATACAAAAGTAGATCAAAGCAGGCTGGTTTCCCAGAATTCAGGGATTTCCAGGGGCTTTCGGTGGCTTTTATCAAAGCGACTTCCACCTTCCTTTGATACAGGGAAGATATGTTTTTTTTTCCTTCAATGACCAAGGCCTTATACTGTGTCTCACATGTGGAAATTGCTGTGTGCAAATACCCGGGAAGAGTTCCCTAATAACTAAATTACTCAAATGAAAGGAAAGTGTTTTTCCCCAGATCACTGTCTTTTTGAATTATTCAGCTAATCAGCATCAAAACTAGAAACTGGACTGAATCAAAACGTCAAGTTCAAGTCCAAACGTAAACCTGTATGGAGGGTTTCTACAGGGTAAAAGAAACAAGACTCTGTGAAAACAACAAGCAAATCCGGAAAAAACAAAGGGTCACTTCTAAGTGGAGGAGTTATAAAGAGCATTTGGAGGATGGGCTCTGATTTAAACCCGGCTTTAGACTTGAGTATCTGGATCCGTTGTTCACCTCAGTCCCATTCCCATTTGGGAGGTGGAGGTAATGATTACCAGACACAGAGAACAGGAAAAATAAAACAAAGAACAGGCCTCTGTGGTGGGGATGAAGTGAGAATAAAAACATCCAAAAAAAGTATTCACATCTACAGTAGGTTTCTGATTGTCCTCCTACATTTAAGATACAAAAAGACGTCTATCCCCTATTGGCTAAACAATACCAAAGCATCATTTTAATTAAGAACACATGCGGTCTTTTACCTTCTCAGGACAAAAAAGTTCTCTCTTTTTATTTTTTTTTAGGGTAATCTTGCCCTAGTGTGGATCAACAATTGTTTACACAGAAGTTATGTTTTATCTGCAGTAAAGTTAATCCCTCTGTTTTAAGTACACATTAACGTGCAAAACATAAACACCCCATGAGAATCAGACAATGAGTATTTTACATGTAAACTCACATATCAGTGTCCCTTATTTACAAAAAGAATGAAAAGACAACTTCAAGCAAAAAGAAGCATGCAGCTAAGTAAGATATTCATTTTAAATTCAGTAGCTTTGGACCGGCATTGAGCAGTTCAGTACAGGGGCAATCTGAAATGTAGATTTGGCTGTAGCTGTCTTGAGTGAAAGAATTACAGAGGAGCTGTAAGGATGAGGCAATTGGAACCTCACCTCCATCCCAGATCACTTGAGGTGGAAGAAAGGAAGCCAGGAACCCATATAATAATAATAATAACAATAATAATAATAATAATATTATTATTATTATTATTAATTATTATTATTAATAATAATAATAATAATAATTGCTCACACTTATATAGCGCTTTTCTGGACACTCCACTCAAAGCGCTTTACAGGTAATGGGGATTCCCCTCCACCACCACCAATGTGCAGCATCCACCTGGATGATGCGACGGCAGCCATAGTGCGCCAGAATGCTCACCACACATCAGCTATCAGTGGGGAGGAGAGCAGAGTAATGTAGCCAATTCATAGAGGGGGATTATTAGGAGGCCATGATTGGTAAAGGCCAATGGGAAATTTGGCCAGGACACCGGGGTTACACAGTACATATATACAGTACATTGTATCTGGTGTGGCACGGGGCTAGTCCTTTGCTCTTAAACTTCAGATCGATCACCATTTCATTTGGCATTTGCATGCCCCTTATAAATAAGTTTTCACCAATATAGAAAGACATGGCATTCAAAGCAAAAACAAAAAATAAATCTGTTGTATGTACAGTATCTGTTACTTTCTTTCAAATGTGTAGAAATCTGCAGCTGATGATTCTCACAACAACCCTGCTCAACTCATCCTGCACTGTGCTGTCAGATGCCTCCACCCTTCAACAGCCCTTGTAACCCATTTGTTTAGTATGTTGCTTTTTGTCTTTCTAGAAAAAAAATCTATGGTTTGAATGTCCCGAGCACAAAGCATTCAGTAACACTATTACCATTTATCATATTTAAATTTAAGTTGCGTTTGCACAATTAACTCACCTGATACAAAGGCCACTTTTTCTTTTAGTACAGGCAAGACATCAGATGCTTTAATTCCATCATTTCTGAAAGACCCTGAAAAAAAATACAGAAAGTATTTGATAATCTGATTTAACATTTAATCTCATAACAAGATTAAAATTCCTGGACACACACGCAAATTTCAATGGAAAAAAAAACAGAAATAAATAACTGCACTCAGTAATCTCATTTTTACATTTTTAATTGTATTTATAAATACACAAACCACAAGAGGTTTGCAAAATTGTTAAAATAATGCAATCACCCTCCACCTTCACAAATTGCCTTACAATCATACCTGTCTAAAACAGACACTATGTACCACTTGCATATTAATAATAAGTAGAATAATTAGCTTTGGGAAGCTTCTAAGAGGATTTATTTTCATGATGCAGAAGGGTAATTAAATGTTTGGAAAAAAGTAATTTTAATAATTAATTAATCAATTAAAGTAATGACCTACACATCTGAGAGTTGTTTTCAACTTCTTTCAATACTGTAAATATGTCTGCCTATTTACATAATATATACTTAAATAATGAAAACACTTTACCTGCATGTAGTAATTGGTTTATGTTAGATAATTGGCATTACTATAGGCAAGTCATTAAGATAAAAAATGATTACTGTACAACATTGCTCATCCAGAACAGAATAAAGGAGTCACACACCACTTAAGAAAAAAGAATATGTAATTTCTCCTTTGTAAAAGTACAAAGCACTGTAGAAAACAGTATACATGACAGACTGAAAATTAAGTATAGTAGTTTAAACTTCATATTTTTGTTGAAGGACAATTGTTGATTTAGCCCCATTTATTTTCCACTTTGCGCTTTCATCTCCTTTCAACACAATACTCAACAGTTGTTTTTTTAATATTGATATAGCCATTCCCCTTAGACTTAAATCCAAACAATATAATTTGTGTGTTTTACAATGGGCACCTTTCAGGATTATGGTGTTCCTTTAAGAGCATGCTATGAATTATGCAATTTTTTATTAATTTTTATATGATGTGAATGAATAGGTCAAGCTCTTGCTGTTTCATTCCAAAATACATGAATAGAAGAATAGAATACAATAAGCACATAATCTCTTTTAGGATACTAAACCATACTTTCACTCAGCTATAAAACTGGTCAGTGTGCATACTATGGACTTTCTGGACTCCTTAATGCATCCTTAGAATGAAACATCTGTTAATTGATTTCTGCAAAAAAATAGATATTCATGAAATATAGAATAACTATATAATTTCAGATGTATAAACATGCATTAACAGACTTCTAGATCATAAGTGTAGATATCAATATGGCATGTGTACAGCACAAGGATTGTTAACTATTCTATAGGCTTTAAATTATACTTTCATTATCTGCCTCCAAAGACAACAAAAAAGCTCCTTTATACTGTACTTCACTGTTTTGCATGGAATGCAAAAGCAAAATTGTGCTGCTCTTTTACATTTCATCTTCATTTCACACAGAATCATAAATGGTATTTGTTTTCATTCCACATTAATCCACGAACGATGAAATCCATAATTTCTCCACTATTCCTGGAAAGAAGAGAATGTGGGCGCCCAACGTAATGGAGTATTTGACTCTTCAGAACATGTAATCAGCTTGTATCTGGACATCAAACATCTAGGCAGGGTAAAAGCTCTTCCTCTGAGCAGTCTGCTTTGGCAATCTCAACTGCAGCTGCACTGCCTAACAATTGGCTTGTTTAAACATATCGAATGAACTGAAACTGCAGTATCCGTTTTGGCAGGTCTAGCTAAACCACTTTATGTTTTAAAATGAAGAAGCTTTCAGTGTTTTTTTTTTTTCCGAACAAAGTATGCATTTCAAGCATTTCAATACCATAGAAGAAACTGCAAAGGACACAAACCACTGTTACTATTAATATCAAGCAGGACAGAATTCTTTCAAGACATTTTCTTGCACAGAGAAAATGTGTAAATCTCCACATACTGTAACTAAAGAAGTGTTGTTTCCAGAAGATGTTATAAATAATAGCACACAATGGTACATCAACACAGCAGGTACATAGCAACATCTCTGGATAATATCTTAAATGATACTACATATAAAGATCAACAAAAAAAGAGAAAATTGTTATGTTGTGGAAGTTTGTGTGTTTTCTTTTATTTGTATGAGAGAGAGGTTAAAGAGAAAAACGTTTTGGTTTACTGCCTCAAGTTAATTAATGAAATCAGAGTATGTGTGTTTTGGGATTCCCAGTGTCAACCCAATAATTACATTATACTTGATGTTCTGCAGTCTCATGTCACTATTTTATTCTTTATTTCAGAACACCTATTTTAGAAATGAATGGCATACTGTGCATGGAACAGAAGACTTTCAACATCAACTTTGATGAGTACATTCATTCTGTTACTTAAAACACAATAATTTTTATTACATGCACACACCTATCTGTAAGTCAACAATGTATTTACATTACTACAACTACTGTTTAAGTGACAACAAAACTGTCAGTGCAGTAGATAGATAACCCAGTACACGTGTTTTTCTGTTCAAGTGTATTTCTTGCTTAAGCAACTACATAGGCCTGTGCTTTTCCGTACCAAGATGTCTGGCATCAAGAATGCTTTACATTGCATCCAGAATACCTCATATTACTTGTAATGGATATTACAAGTGAAGATACTTACTGTAACTGTTTCCATTTTTTTAACCTGACAAAGAGGTTTCCACGTCATTTGTTGTCAAACTGTATGGAGTACACAGAACATGAGTCTGTAGTTTGCTGTCTAGCCACAAATTATAAAACCTGTAGGCCCAAATATCGCACAGAGCTGTATAAATATTTGTTTCATGAAATCCACACATAAAACAAATTCTCAAGCTCTTGATGTCATATCAGTTTTTTTTTCTTTCCCCTGAGATCTAAATGTATAATGCTAAAGAAAACACTTATTTTTTTATTCATGCCCAGAAACTCTTTGAAGTCAATGAAAGCATTTCTAAAGATATTATATATTATATGTATCTACAGTGTAACAACTAATGAAAGCATCAGGATATATTTTTAAAGACACCCTTTCACATCACTGTCAAACTCCATTTAGATGGCAGACAGGAATTTGCTGGGACATTTACAGCCACTATGACTGAATGTACCAAATACAGATGTTCTGGATTGTCAAATTTGATTTTCTGAATTGTGAAATGTATATACCGTATTAAACAGCCAAGAATTATGCTGCTTGTTGTTTATCGAAGAAATACTGTATGTTCCTCAAAGTATTAAAATACTAATAAAAAAGTCTTATTTTCGTGACTAACAGATACAAGCAAACTGCATATACACATGCTATGTGGCTGTTTAAACATTTTGCAAGACACTGCACAGCCTGCTTTGACAGAATTGCAATTATGTCTCCAGTACAAAACAAACTCACAAGCTTTGTGTTTCAGCTTCTGGGAAAATGGAATATGAATGCACAGGGGATAGCTCAGATTTCCATATTTAAAAACTCTGATGCCCTATAATGCCATCACATATTGTTCAGAAATGAAATCTGAAGGAGGAAATTAAGAAACAAATGTTGAGTTTGGTGACAAATGTCAGCAGTAAAGTGCAGAATACTGTCAAAGGTAGAAATGTGTCCACTGTGTAAACCCCTGAAAGGAATCATCCAAACACATAATGTACATTACACTCTTCCAAAGATCAAAACTTTTGCCATTTGGCCCAATTATGATGGCAGTTATTCATTAGTGGCACAATCTGTTACTTTTACAATCCCTCGTTTAACAGCTGGGATGTAAAGACTGAAAGACTAGCATGCTCATCAGCTGATGGTATTAAAAAGTGAGAGTTTACTCCTACATCATATGAGCCCTGTTAATATGTCTGTAATGAGCTGTACTGTATCTCAGCAAGTGAGTTACAGAATCCGAAAGCTCAGTTCAAAAGGAAACCTTAATTCTCTAAATATGCTTTTAATACATTTTAAAAGCATTCAATATCATTTTGGCCCTAATGCAGACAGACTGAAGTATTTACTGTTCCTCAATATTTTAACCACATTCTTTGAATTTAATTTCTGGAGAAATGCCTTTACATGTACCTGAAAGAAAATGGTGGCTCAATCAGTAAAAAAAAGGCTGTTTTTTATTTGTGTTTCTTTATCTAAGTAAATGCCATTGCACATTATTAAGTTTCCTTTTATAGTTCTCCTCTCTGAAAAGTACATAATCAAATTGGCTTTTCCATTATGAGCCTAAATCATGCACTGAAGGTACAGTACAGTGCTTATAGTGACAGAGCTTTCCAAAGGGCCTAGAGCAGAGGTAGAATTGACTGGAGAAGTGCTGCAGCTCAAACAGCAATGCAAATACCGGAGCCTGGTACTGTACAGTATGTCATAGGGGTCACTGCTGCATGGCAACCCAAGGTTACCATGCCCATTTCAGGCCTACCTGAGCTCAGTGGTGATTGCTAGACTGTGTACCACCATGTAGGAAAGGCATCCAAGCCACAGTGTCTGATGACAGACCAGCAAAGACTGGCTTAAGGAGTTGAACCTGTGCCCCTTTGTTGGTTGAACATCTCAGAAGATCTTAAAACATCTCAGACGCCCCTCAGCTTTATTTTAAGGAGCTTTAAGGATACATACTGTACATACTTTATACTTTATTAATACATACTTTACATAAATACATTAGATAATATATACAGTACATAGGTTGAACAAATACTGTATTACAGTACTGTAGTACTGTATTATAAAAATGTTTCAGCTGCATTTAGGCTGTGTTTTTCATTCCTAAAACATACTAGACTAGACAGGCTCTTCTAAGATACTTTCTGTGTACCATTCATATTTAACATTTAAAGAAAGTTTATGAATTTTACAAATTCACAAATAGTGTTTTACATATTAGAAAATAATCAGATTTTTACATTTTGATGACATTTTAGATTTCTCAATAATATTTTGTTTTTTACATACAGTATAATCTATTCCATCTCTGAAAAGAACAGCTGAAACCACGTTTTCTGGAGGACTAAGAAATGCT